TTTTTCGACTTCTTTTCAAAGATTGTGGCCCTTTTGGACCAATCCAGCTTTTCGCAAGAGCGACAATTTTTTAACCTTTTTTTTTCATTCATTTTTTGAATACTTCCGGTATGGAGATTATTGTCGGAATATTTTTAATAACCAGTTTGGGCAATTAAATAGAGGCAGGGCTCTGTAATGATATATTACATTATCTGATCAGATAAAATGACCCTGAGAAATCCTATGTTCAAAGGTGCCAAAAATGCAAAAATGTCAAAATATCGAAAATTAAATTTCAATAACTCAATACATATTATACATCGTTAAAATCGTAATTAGGTCAGCTATCCAAATCTGTAATCTTTTTGTAAAAATTTGTTTAAATAATAAAGTAATAGAGCATTTGGCAAAATTTCACGATTTTTCGACTTTTTTCGATTTTCAGTCCCTTTTTTATCGTATTCCAGACATTTCAAAGTCTTATTGGATGGCATAATTCACAAGACTATCGAATGGACACTCGATAGAGAAAGTTAAAAAAAAAGTTGCGGTTAAGATTTCGAGATACAGGCGTCCAAAAACGCTCCAAATCAGAAAATACTTGATTTTCAGCTTGTCATATTTTGCTGCTTGGTCATAGTATCCGTATAAATTGGGCATCATACGACAGCCCATTCCTCGGGCCACTCAACCAGAGCTTAATTCGTTTAATCCATTGATATTGGACGGAGAAATAGAGTTTTTCCCCAAAACACCCATTTTTTTTTTTTTTTTCCGAAATATTGGACATTATTTCGACTACTTCCGGTTTCCGGACCGTTGTTGAAATTGCTTTATCCAGCGGTCTGACTATATAGCTTTATGTTCCAGGACTTTCAGAAATATCGATTTATCGTTTCCCAAAAATATAGGTGTTGGGAAATGGGGAGAAAATTCGATAAAAATCGAAAAATAAAGGGCGACAACTCGGAATGAAACTTATATTTCTGGAATCGGATGGTCTTCAGGTATCCAAAAATGTAGGTCAAATTAAAAAATTTTGAAAAATAACAAAAATTGTCTTTTAAACAACATTTTTCATTTTTCGAACGCTAGAAGTCAGCGACGAAGTTGCTAAATTTTAAATATCGTCCGAGAAAAGAATCAGGGTTTCTGAAAATGCCATTTGTATGAAAATGGGTACAGAATTAACGAACACAAACAATATAACCAATTTGTCTGAAATCCTATCAAAAAACAATATTAACACCATAATCTGTCAAGAATCAATACATCTAGGAGTATATAATATAGAAATGTTTAATGACAAACATGAATGGTTATTTGTAAATCACCTCATCCTCCTTACAAAATATTACATCTATGAATGTAAAAGTAAAATTAAATTCCCAAATAAAGATCAGTACCTCAACTTTATGAGAACAGTGTCAAAGACAGAGTTGGATTTGTTTGTTGGCAACAAGACAATCGTAGACAAATGGAAATATGAATAATTATAAAGATAGAACACAAATTTTGCATGAATCACTTTATTTTGCCTGTGAAATAGTCAATTCTTATTGGATTTTGATAAAAGTGACACCATTTGATGCTTAAAGCAAATATGCATTATATCCAATTGATTACAATTTAAAATTGACACCCGAAGTGATGCCATTTTGTCCAAAACTGTATTTTTAACCTTCAAAGATATGATCATGTAGATGTCACTAAATCGTTTCTAGCTTGTTTACTATTTTCTGTGAGTCACTTTTAACGGTTTTTGGTTTATAAAATTGTTAATTATTATTATTTGATTTTTATAAAAGTTTCACCATTTGATGCCTTCCTTTGTGATTTTATAAAACCAATTTAAACAATTTTTTTTTTACTGAAAGTGACATTTTGACAAAAACTGTATTTTTAGCCTTCAAAACAATTATCTTCTTCAAATGAGTGTTATTCAATATACCTACTAAATTATGATATTTCATCCAACATATAGAATGATATAATATGATGCTATAGATATCAAAAAATTGCTTCTAATCTCTTCCGTGGCTCAGAAATAACCAATTTTGTCTGGGTCACTTTTTAAGTTTGGTTTTTTTTTTTCGCATTTTCATTTCCCATCAGCTAACTTAGCTGTAAGTTAGTTATCAATTTTTTTAGGATCATTATTTTGAAATATGTAACACATGGTACCAAATGTATAAATGGAATTGATATAGCTCGATTTGGTTGATTCTGCTCCTGTTTTATAACAGGTGTGCAATGCTTATGTGGAAATCTGTTTCATTGGTACCGGAAGTGAAGTAAGTTCAAGGGTAACGTGGCACCAGTGAAACCCGTCATAACTGCATCACAGTTCTAGTTCTTCATATTATTTTTTTTTCCCACTTCAACATATCAGAATATGACATTCTCCATAACAAATGACTAAGAATTATATTAAAGTTAATGGTAGCTTATAGGCCTAATTAACCTATTTGCTACGGTGACCACATTTGACCTAATTCTGGCTCTTTGGTTTCAAAATGGATTAAGATCCCTCAGATACCTGTTCTTCTTATCACAAATGCTAAAAAAGCTCTCCTCAAGAGATTCAGGAGAGCGATTTTCCAATTTCAGGAGAGCTTTTTTGACTCTCCAGGAATTTATTCAGCAGCAAGGCTCATCACCGGAAGTAAATATGATGATCATATTACTCCTATTTTACGGAAACTCCATAGGTTACCGATTATTTTTAGAATTGAATTTAAAATCCTCCTTTTAACTTTTAAATGTATAAATGATATGTCACCTTCTTATTTATCTTCACTTTTAGAAATGTACACACCGAGTCGCACTCTGTGCTCTTCTTCTGATCATTTTTATACGCCCACATTGAAATGTGGTCGTATATTGTTGTCGCCCCCGTCCGCCCGTCCGTCGGTCCGGCGTCCACTTCAAAAAATCTTGTGGACGCCCTAGAGGCGAAAGTTAATATCCGATTGACTTTAAATTTATACACAGTGTTTAAGGTCAAGAGACGAAGAAGCCTATTGATTTTCAGCAATTTCCGATAATTACTGCCAGAGTTATGGCCCTTGATCACTTCAAAAAATCTTGTGGATGCTCTAAAGGCTAAAGTTAATATCTGATTGACTTTAAATTTATACACAGTGTTTGAGGTCACGAGGCGAAGAATCCTATTGATTTTCAAAGATTTCTGATAATTACTGCCAAAGTTATGGCCAATGATCCGTTTGAAAAATCTTGTGGACACTCTAGAGGCCAAAGTTAATATGCGATTGACTGCAGATTGATACACAGAGTTTAAGATCTTGAGACGAACAAGTATATTGATTTTCAATGAATTTTTATGACTTGGAACAGCTAAATTCATGATACAGTATTAAAAGTTTTGTATACAAAACGTTAGCATGGGGCAGAACTTTATAAAAACCAAACAAATTCTAATGGTTTTCTGAGTTGTTGCTCTTAATCAGATTTTAGTATATTATAAATGTTTCATTACCGAAAAAAGTAAAAATATGCGACAACTCTTGTTGACTGCCCGACGATTTAGCTGCTGTGGGCGTATGTTTCGTTGCCTGGCAACGTATCTTTTTACTTGTAAATAAATCAGCAAGACTTTTATCATTTGGAGAGCGATCTTTTACCATGCAGACACCCAAATTATGGAATTTTGTGAAAGATAGGCTCGCTCTTTAAATGTTAATAATAATAATAATATTTGTCCCCCGCCTTTCGAGAAAGCAGGGGACTATTAAAATGGGTTGGTCTATCTCTCCGTCTCTCTGTCTGACCGTCACACTTTTTGGGACACAATAATTGAGCTAGAATGTTCAAACTTGGTGTAGGTGTTTATTAGGTCAATGCCGTACTGGAATTTGAAGATGGGCATTTTCTGCGAAAAGGTAAGCAGAAATAAGCAATTTGATTGGTTGATGCTTTGGGACAGGATAACTTTAGTTCGAATTAACCCTTTCATTGCGTCTACCGGGTAGTACCGGGTATTATAAAATGTCGTTAAAATACGCGTACCCAGTATTACCGTGTACTCAGTAAAGCCCTCGCTAAAATTAGTACGGTAACTGCAAGTGCCATCTATTGTATTTTCTATACACTAGAACATATTTCCACGTGTTTCAAAGCGGCAAACCGTAAAATGGCAGAGTGCATAGTGGAACACAATAACTCTCCTTCTAATTGAGCTACAATGTTCAAACTTGGTGTAGGTGTTTATTAGGTCAATAGGTCTGTTTAGGGTAAGCAGAGATAAGCAATTTGATTGGTTGATGCTTTGGGACACGATATAACTTCAGTTCTAATTAAGTGAGAGTGATGAAACTTGGTGTATAGTTTCATTACATCAATACCTTGACTAAGTTCGATAAGCAATTTGATTGGTCGAAACTCTGGAACACGAATAACTCTCCTTCTAATTGAGGTAGAATGTTCAAACTAGGTGTAGGCATTCATTAGGTGAATGCCTTGATGGAGTATGATGGGGAACATTGTCTGCTTATGGTTGACAGAGATAAGCAATCTGATTGGTTGATGCTTTGGGGCACGATAACTTTGGTTATAATGAAGTGAGAGCGATGAAACTCTGAATATAGATTCATTATATCATTACCTTGACTAAGTTTGATGGTGAGAATTTTCTGCTCAGGGTAAGCAGAGCGATAAGCAATTTGAATGGTCAAGACTTTGGAACATAACAACTCTGCTTTTAATTGAGATAGAATGTTTAAACTTGATGTAGATGTTCATTAGGTGAATGTCTTGACTGAGTTCAATGATTAACATTTCGAGCTTAAGCTTAGCAGAGCTAATCAATTTCATTGGTCGATACTTTGGGATAAGATAATCTTGATTCTATTTGATAGAGAGTGATGAAACTTAGTGTATAGTTTGATTGCTCGATACTTTTGAAAAAAATAAATGTGTGATTAATTAATATGTGTCATCTATTTATTTTGGAATTTCGGCGGGGGACATCAGCCTCACTGTTAGCTTACTTATTTTAGGGTATACTGCGACGAGATCTGGAAGCTTTGTATGAAAAGTTTGAAGAAAGAGGGAGATTACTTATGCCATATAATCCTAGCATTGAAGTTTGTGGTATTGACATCAGGGTATTTATTTATAAATCTTTATTCTTACAACATGATGAATAATTCCGCTGAGAAGTCGAAAGAGTGAGATTTGTACGTTTAGGGCATAGATATCTCCCGATTTGGTAAATTTCTATGAATATCGGTAAATCTAATATGAAGAGGCTAAAATCTGTAGGTAGTTATCTGTCAATCTGTATGAAATTTATACGTGTCGTTTAAATTAGTAAAAAAAGAATCCTATTGAATTTGAGCAACTTCTACAGTTATGGCCCTTGTTTCACTTTCACTACACTGAGAAGTAGTAAGGGTGAGATTTGTACGTTTACAGTATAGATTTCTCGCCTTTTAGTAAATTTGTACCAATATCAGTAAAATTCTAATTATCGCAACAAATCTAATACGAAGAGGCTAAAATCTGTAGGTACAGTGTGTTGATTAACAGGGGTGAGAAATTGACTGAGTGGTGATATAATTATCGCTAGGGTGAAAATCTAGGCGACGGTGCGTTTTCTGTACCGGTGTGTTGATTAACGAACGGGTTAAAAACGACTGACACGGTGTGTATTCTTTGTTTGGTGAGTTTTCTCGAAAGAGTGTTATAACTGCACCAAAGGTGTTTTATCAAGGACCAACAGGCTTTATCTGACGCGTAGGTGTTAAATCCAATCTACCGTGCGATTTCTTGTTCGACAGTGTTTTACGCAGATCGGTCTTTGTTAAGTGTAGGTCTTTATACATGGATTTATACGTCCTGTAGTTACATTTGTTCGTTCTTATACGTATTTCATTTCTTGGTGAATACTACGTGTTTTATACTTCGTACCATAGTCGGGCTGCAATTATTTATATATTTGTCTTTTTTGTGGGTTTAATTTGTTTATATATTATCGTGCGTACCACTGAAATATAAATGCACATTATTTACCGATAACCAGACCAGCCTCCATTGATATCAGACTAACGAATCTGTTTCGAAAAGCAAGTTTATAAATATAAAATCGAGCAATTGATGAAAAACTATTGGTTTCGCCATGTCTATATTTACTAGTTTTATACGCCCACATTGAAATGTGGTCGTATATTGTCGTCGCCCCCGTCCGTCTGTCTGTCTGTCCGTGGGTCCGGCGTCCACAAGCAATTGTGGACGCTCTAGAGGCTAAAGTTAATATCCGATTGACTTTAAATTTATATACAGTGTTTAAGGCCATGAGACGAAGAATCCTATTGATTTTCAGCGATTTCCGATAATTACTGCCAGAGTTATGGCCTTTGATCACTTCAAAAAATCTTGTGGATGCTCTAGAGGCCAAAGTTAATATCCGATTGACTTTAAATTTATACACAGTGTTTAAGGTCATGAGACGAAGAATCCTATTGATTTTAAGCGATTTCCGATAATTACTGCCAGAGTTATAGCCCTTGACCACTTCAAAAAATCTTGTGGACACTCTAGAGGCCAAAGTTAATATCCGATTGACTTTAAATTTATACACAGTGTTTAAGGTCATGAGACGAAGAAGCCTATTGATTTTCAGCGATTTCCGATAATTACTGCCAGAGTTATGGCCCTTGATCACTTAAAAAAATCTTGTGGACGCTCTAGAGGCGAAAGTTAATATCCATTGACTTTAAATTTATTCACAGTGTTTAAGGTCATGAGACGAAGAATCCTATTGATTTTCAGCAATTTCCGATAATTACTGCCAGAATTATGGCCCTTGATCACTTCAAAAAATCTTGTGGATGCTCTAGAGGCCAAAGTTAATATCCGATTGACTTTAAATTTATACACAGTGTTTAAGGTCATGAGACGAAGAAGCCTATTGATTTTCAGTGATTTTCGATAATTACTGCCAGAATTATGGCCCTTGATCACTTAAAAAAATCTTGTGGATGCTCTAGAGGCTAAAGTTAATATCCGATTGACTTTAAATTTATATACAGTGTTTAAGGCCATGAGACGAAGAATCCTATTGATTTTCAGCGATTTCCGATAATTACTGCCAGAGTTATGGCCTTTGATCACTTCAAAAAATCTTGTGGATGCTCTAGAGGCCAAAGTTAATATCTGATTGACTTTAAATTTATACACAGTGTTTAAGGTCATGAGACGAAGAATCCTATTGATTTTAAGCGATTTCCGATAATTACTGCCAGAGTTATAGCCCTTGACCACTTCAAAAAATCTTGTGGACACTCTAGAGGCCAAAGTTAATATCCGATTGACTTTAAATTTATACACAGTGTTTAAGGTCATGAGAAGAAGAAGCCTATTGATTTTCAGCGATTTCCGATAATTACTGCCAGAGTTATGGCCCTTGATCACTTAAAAAAATCTTGTGGATGCTCTAGAGGCGAAAGTTAATATCCATTGACTTTAAATTTATTCACAGTGTTTAAGGTCATGAGACGAAGAAGCCTATTGATTTTCAGCAATTTCCGATAATTACTGCCAGAGTTATGGCCCTTGATCACTTCAAAAAATCTTGTGGATGCTCTAGAGGCCAAAGTTAATATCCGATTGACTTTAAATTTATACAGTGTTTAAGGTCATGAGACGAAGAAGCCTATTGATTTTCAGCGATTTCCGATAATTACTGCCAGAGTTATCGCCCTTGATCACTTCAAAAAACTCTTGTGGACTCTCTAGAGGCGAAAGTTAATATCCTATTGACTTTAAATTTATACACAGTGCTTAAGGGCAAGGTAAAGTGACACCATTTTGTCACAACACCTGAAATGGGGGGTTCTCAAAAAGGGATTTACACCAGCTTTAATGCAAATATGTTGGTATCTACATGTGCCTGAGATGATACAGAACAATAAAAAATGGATGGAAATCCAAAATAATGACTTTGAAATAAAATATTTACCAAATAATGAAGCAAATTCCTAAGTCAGGACTGTGCAGCTACAAGCTTTATAAAAAAGAACACATTAAAATTAAACTGGCTAAAAGTTGCTCAAATAATCAAACTCCAACCATCAAGACTTGAAATCTGAAAAAAAAATATCAAAAATTAGTTATAGGACCTCAAAGTTTTCAAATATTTTGTAAACAAAAGGCCATTTTGTTTCATGCACTACTTTCACTGCAGATGTATGGTGTGGCACAATGGACAGCAATATTGCCCCTATGATATGAGGTACACATTGTACAAATAGCCTTCATATTCCGGATATGACATCTAATTACAATAATAGCAGCCTTTTTGCAGGGATTTTTCATGACTTGAATACAGGGCTATATTACAATGTATGTATGTCTGCTAAGGCTTATTACATGTTTATAGTTATACATGTATTATTTGTGTGAAAGGGAAAGACACAGAGAGAGAGGTTTAATGTCTTCTGGACACAAACTAGGTCATTTCGGGACTAACACATGGTTCAAATTTATTTCAATAATACGCTAGTGTGTAGGGGTCTTTAGCAGTGGAAAGACCTGGAGAAAACCCTTGAGGCTTGACCGGCGACCCGACTGCCTGTCACATACAAGTGGACAACTGAAACTACGCCACTGGACTCAATGACAGACCTTGTGATCAAATGTGGACGTGTTAAATGTGCACAATTTGTTATACCCACCTGTTATTATATTAAAGTCAACAAATCCTAAATCACATTTCAGTTCCTGGCCTATATTTATGAAAAATAAATAATGTAAAGGTGTATTTTTCAATTCATTTTCTAAATCCAGCACATACACAAATTCTCAATATACATGTACATGTGTAAAACATTCAGCATTATTTGCAAACTTTCCAATGGGAAGTGATATCAGATGTTCTAGTTAATTAGATGCTGACATACATGAATCACATCCATTCACATATGTACAATGTTTCTGTCTTCTAGAAGGCCTACATAGATTTGTAAACTTGCCAACAGGGTTTGCGTAATATTAATAGTGATATTTTGGGCATACCCTGCCCATGCCCAACACTTGTCACTTTGCAAACTTAACTGTCTAGATAGGAAATGTTTTTGATTGGCATGTATTTAATGGTTGCTTTTGGTATGCTAGATTTAAAAAAAGACAGCTACCATTGTATACATTAACCATATTCACATATTTTATTTGACTCGGAATGTTTAATGTTTTTGAGTTGTTTTTTCATATAAATTGACAATACGTACCATTTTAAAGTTTTTTTTATCATAAATGCATCATAATTTTTAATGCTGCTTTAAATTCCATAGAAATCATAGTTTTCCTTGTTTATCTGTCAAATTACACAAGTCTAACTCAATATCATCCAAAGTCTTCCACCTTGAAAATACAAATTATTTGTCAGTTTAAATCAACATTGATGTTGTGATCTTACCGGGAAAAAATGGGCTTCTGATATCCGATATTTAAGACAAAATAATCATTTTACCATTGGTACACGTATCGTGTACCATAATGCGTTTTAGGACCTTTTGTAATGAGGTATTCGAAGAACGAGGCTAGACATATTCCACAAGTCATGTTAAGCGGTGATGCCCTATTCTTATCTGGTGAGTATGCACAATAAATACTATTATTGTAGACTGGAATAACCAGACGCTAGAGATTGTCATTCAATTGAGACTTCTGACATATTTCGCCGAACATAATTGAATTGAAATTTGAGTAAAAACCGAAACGATTGAGAATGTAAATCAGTTACATTATTATATGCTTTGCTACCCATTTGTGTCAATTTGTCTCAAATATTAGCGATTTACCTCCTATAACTTTAAAGCAACAGGGCCACCATAATCTGTGTAGATTATCTTGTCCAATTCTGTAAAATAAGAATAAAAATTACAAGGTATATCAGTGAAAAGTTTATATGAAACAAATCCTAAATAAAAGACACATAATTACAATAGTATAATTATTATATAATAATTTTAAAAATGAAAAACCCAACAAACCATGTCTTAAATAAAGTAAGACACAAAAAATAATTTAATAATATAGGCCTAGGCTAAAACTTGATAATTTTAACTTATATATAAACCCATAAAATTTATCACCAGAAGAAATT